AAAAAACGAGAGGTCATATGTCTGTTTGCCAACAGAACAGAGGGCTTTTTTGCATCCCTTTTGAGTTGAACAACTAATCTACTGCACAAACCTGATGGCGTAAATCTGTCATCATGACCGTTTGGGTCCAAGGTTTCAACCCAATCAGGCATGTACTTCAGAAAATAACATGCTTTACATAAAATGTAATTTGACTCCTCATCTCATGAGGTCATCATCACATCAGGTACATTTTCATGTAGAACACCTCCTTTCCTTGTCATCTGCAAGTTTCTAGTCAATGGAATATGTACTTCAGGAGATATAGGGCTTTAAACAGTGCACATTAAATGTCATGTGACTTGTCTCCTGATGATGTCTTCATCACATGAGGTCAATATTCCTCTAAAGCACTCCCTTTTCAAGATATCTGCTTGATTTGAACCTGATTGGACATCTACTTCAGGAGATATAGGGCCTTAAAGAGTGTGCATCTTTAAATGTCATGTGACTTGTCTCCTGATGATGTCATCATTACATCAGGTCAAAATTCCACGAAAGCACTTCCTTTTCAAGATATCTGCAAGGTTTGAACCCAATTGGATATATACTTCAGGAGATATAGAGTTTTAAATAGTGCACCTTTAATGTCACGTGACTTGATAATCTGATGATGTCATCATCACATGAGGTCTATTTCATCTAAAACACTTTTTTAAATATCTGCTAAGTTTTTAGCAAATCAGACGTGCACTTCAGGAGATATAGTACTTTAACCCTCCTATGCTAAGATACATTCGTGACACAATTTTCATATCAGTCAAAATCAGTCTAATTTCCCATATGTGTCTGTGTACTGGGGGAAATCAAGTGGAAGGCATTTTTGACTGTTTTTGACAGTTAAAACAGAAAGAGGGTTAGAGGATGCACCTTAAATGTCAAGTGATTCGTCTGCTGATGAAATTGTCATCACGTGAGGTCAATTTCCATTTATAAACCTTCCCTTCTTAACTACCTGCAAGGTTTCAACCCAATCAGCCATGTACAATACAAAGTACAATACAAAACATTATCGTTATTGTGGAAAAGCACAGGTTAGACATTTTAAACATTTGTCCCTTTTGGCGTTCCATACAATGCGATCTGCTCTCCGCACTGCGTGCTCAGCAATTTGCTAGGTCTCAAGTATATGCCCTATGCACTGTGCGCCGTCTATGTTACAGGCAGATATTGGGCGTCCACACACACAGTAACCAATGCACAGTATGCAAATAGGATTTTCGAGTTGTTTCCAAAGTATTAAAAGCACTTAAGTTGTGTGTAGAAAAAAGTGCACTAATTAAGTGGAATTTTGAGTAGAATAAGCAAAAGAGGAAGAAAAAAAAAGAACAAAAAGAATGTCTTGTTCGCAAAATTGCAAAAAAGCCAAAAAAAAAATGTTAACAAAAACAAGAGCTATTTCACCGAAACGCCGAAACAGCTAATAAACCATGGACAAAAGACTGCTTGAAAGGAGCTCTGCGTGGCTGGGCAGGTCATTCGGCTATGGCCTTGGCAATGACCAGTTTTCAAAAGGCTTAGTCGCCTCAGGGGTTTCACCAGGTTTTCTTAGGGGGAGGGGTTTGGTCATCAAAAATTGATATTTTGGGGGCAGTTTTTGATGAGGTATTTTCTGAGAAAAATAATGCCTCCAAGCATTATGGGAACATTGTAATTTAGTAAACTGGTTCTTGGTAAAACTAAGTAAAACCTGGAAGCAGTCTAGAATTATTTACATATGTGCAATTGATATTACGTGAATACTTGTACAGTATGATGTGAATGCTTAACTATAATATATGTATTACACGCTGCGTATGTTGCATCCAGATCTTTTCTATTGTAAATGTTAATGTGATAATACCGAATATGAATCATTTTAATCCTAAGATAAATTCATTTACATATGTTGGATGTGAATTAAAGCGAGAACAGTTTATATGCAGTATTAGTGTATTTATTTGGAACCCCGACATTGGACCCCACATTCAATTTCGTTACCATTCAAATTCCATGACATATACGTAAGTCTGATACACCACTTCATAAAGCAACTAGAGGGTCTGGACCTATAAAATGACGTCTGGGCCCAAGATATTATGCACAAAGATAGCATGCGTCCACCCAAGACAATACACCAAAAATAAAGTGGCTCAATGTGCACACAGCCCACCAACTACAGGTACTACATAAACAAGCCACTAGCACCGAAGTGCTAAAGAACTCACAGCAGATACACTATTGTGCTGCACAGCCTTACCCCTCAAGTTCAGGTTGTCCTTGGTCTTAAAGCTGATATGAACTAAAAGCAAGAGATGTGCTTGCTCCCGACATGAGATTGTTAAATAAATTAACCTTTAAATCACATTTGAAGCAAGATATGGGACAGAGAGAACCCCCCCACCTTTGTGTCAGTCACTGCTTGATTGGAATCTCAGGAATTCTTTACAGACTTCTGGGGGGGGATGTGTTAGGTAACAACAGTCTAGAGTGTGTATAGGAATTGGACAGGTAAGGGGGGTACCCCTCCATCCCATATCTTTCCTGGTATATTAAATCAACAAATTTCAGGTAAACAAAGCAGGATGAAGGTGCAGGATGAAAGATGAAGGTGAACACATTAACTATGTTCACTTTTGAACTTCAGAAAACAGCTTAGGCACATTGCCCATGCTTGCGATCTGTGGACCCATTCTTTGTTTCTCCTTAATTGGCTTTTGCATGACCCTGTGCAAAAACTTTTACACTTGTTTTGCTCTGTTTTCTTCATAGTCTTCTCCTCAAAAACCCTTTCAGTTTGTGCATGTTTTCTAGGTTCCACTATAATCACTTTGCAATCTCCCATCTTTATCACAAAGACCCTTGTGCATAGGTGGTCCTAGTTGAATGACATAATTACATCATCATGCAATTTATTATTTAATTTGAAATATTTATTTTAACCCATTTTCTTTGTAAACAGTTTTTATAACAGGCCTCAGTGGCTCTAAACTTCAGTTGAGGATTTCTGTGATGATGAAACAGAAATTGTATAAAATTTTCCACTGTGTTGGATTACAAATACCCCTAAGAGTCAAGGTATAAACTTGCATTTTATGCAAAAGTTTCGATTCAAACACAAATCATGTGACATGAAATTAAAGGTGCGTTTTTTCCTTCATAGGTGTTGTGCATGTTTTTTTACTGTCACAGACTTGAGCACTGTTATCTATCTGACAGACTTCATATTGGGTGCATATTTAGTCCAGCCTGGAAGGGTCTCAGAATAAAATTGTTCCTGTGATATCGTCAGGTATTTCAAAAATTATACAGCCGTTTCGCCAGATTAATCCTTAACGCCCACCCCACTTATACACAGGAATTTCTATGGGCACTTTTGTGTAATCATTGTCACTTCATTGAAAAATCCTAGAATTTGTGAAGTCTACAAATGCATAAATAACTTGAGTCCAGCATATCTCATATTGTGCTTTGAGTAACTATGCCACCATGCTAATACTCGTGCGAAGTCAAACGGGTCCACATGTCCATCTGTTGTTCCCAAGACCAGTGCTGCCAGTCACTTTTCAGTGCCTAAAATCTATGTTTTATCTGGCAATTTAATTAATTTCCTCATTATATTACCCCTCGTGCTGTGTCTTTGATTATGACTACGTTTACTTCTCTTTGTATCTCTATTAGCTCGTATTCTTTTAATTTTGTTGGTCATTCATTGTGTTCCCTTCTTTTATCGTTTTGTTTTGCCTCTGTGCTATCAGTGGACATGTTCATGTTGATGTTTTCATAAGATTTTAGGTTTTATTTTGCAAATTTTATAATTTAACATGTTGATTGTTTTGTATTTTATTATTTGTGGTGTTAATGACATTTGTTTTAACTTATTTTAAGTTCCATTTCAATGAGTGTCCATGTTACCTGAAACAAGGCTCTCATATAACTGATAAGGGTACCCCGTGTAAATAAAATGGCAAATAAAATAAAAGTAATGGAAAAGATGTAACAATCAACAAACAGCCCAGAATTAAGACATAAATTCTTTATTTATATTGGACTCAAACTCTATCAATATCCCTTGTTTCATCGCTGCGGTGGTGGAGCGCTTTTGTCCCCGGTGGTAATCCGCTCGCTCTCAATGCCCCAACGCC